AGAGCTGTCCCCACAAGCTGGCAGCTCCGGGTTTGCAGAAGCCACAGCTATGCAAGCTGGAAGACCGTAACAAATCTCCCTGCCATCTTCAGATGTTACCGGCTAATGGAAATAAGTAGTTCTGAAAACAGATCTAACTCCTATTGCCAGGGGAGAAGAAGAAGAGGAGTTTCTGGAAGAACCTCTTCTAAACACTTGACTATTTTCTCTGTAAGTTAAGGCCTCCATCAGTTTCCAGCAGGGTTATACTACTTCATTGCCTCCCTGAGGTCTTGTTGAGATTAGTCAGTGAAGATAGTGAGGAAATCAAGCCTGTCATTGATGTGATACTGGTATTTGCAGTAGATGCCAGATCGATACTCAATGTACAAGTGTCCAGCTCCAGCTGAGAGAGTGTTCCTGGATGTCTGGGCCAGCTCTGATTTCTCTCCTGGACAAGTAAAGAAAGAATGTCAAGTCCAGCAAAGATTTAGCTCAGATACCTATCTTTAATCATAGAGATTATCTCACTGGCTTCACTGAAAGCATTTCAGGTCAGTTAAGGGAAGTGCAGAGATGCTTTCAGGTGAGATGTGTAGGCTTCCTAAATGGGAAAAAATGCCAATTGTAAATAAGCAGTTTTCCCTCCTCAACCAAACACTGGCAAAACTCAAACCTCCTGCTGCATGTGTGGTTCCTACAGGGCCAAATGGGAAGGGCTCTGAAAGTGGGTGTTGCCCATGGTTCCTATAGAGCCGAATGGGAAGGACTCTGAGGGTTGCCCTGACACTGTCTTCCCCATGGCCTGTGGGCTGGAGCTTCATTCCCTAGATGATGTTTTTGTATCCAGTGTCTCCTCCAAATGCTACCTGGCAGTTGAGAAAAACATTGAATGGTCTCTGCTGCGAACTCGACTCTGAAGTGCTGTTTGGTACATGTAAACGATTTCCTCCACAAGTGATGCTTCAAATTACAAAGCCGTGCTTGCAGCTTGCCAGGGATGTTTATGTATTTGTGGCTGGCTACACATGTTGTGTGAAAGGCGTTTCTGAATTCATGTTTAAATATACTGGGCTATCTTCTGTCTTTCAGCTAAGGTAGGGTGCCCCCATTGCCTTGTGTGCTACCCACAAACTAACAGGAGTAAAGTTACCACCTTGTGTTTAAGGATTACACATAGATGCTCGATCCTGGAGTGGTTGCTGGGGGATTAAACTGGAAGTCAGAGGTCATGTGGGGTCACCTTAACACATTTAGGTTGAGATTGCAGAGAAATTTGTTCATGAGAATCTCTGGTGCAATCCGTTTGCTGCAGCAGCTCTTGACGGATGTTGCTTTACTCTGGATCTGCTCCTCTTGTATTTGTGGGCTCTTCCTAAAGTGAGTGGGAATTTTGTGCCCATACGTCAAGGTTGGGGCAAGGCTTTCAGTGTAGGTATGATGCAGATAAATTGCTTGATGACCATGAACCATGCTATTCCAGAGCTCAGCAATAAATCACACGTTAGGCTTTAAAATGCACAAACAGGAGCAAGACACTCACCTATTTCTAGGTGGGAAATGGTCAACAAAATCCTTTTCTCTTTTTTTTCCTCCTTTGTAAATCTATCCTAATACCAGTAAATTAGCTAGAAAAGTAAAGGTGCCCAATGTAAGGTGTCACTGGCATATGGAGGACTCGCTTCCACTGGCCTTGTCCTCTGCTTTTCTTTGTGTTCTGGTTCTGCCATCGATGTTTTGTGGATATTGTTGCATTCCAGGGCACTAACAGGAATTTACATTCGTAGCTACTTAATGATGGGGGACTTCTGCCTGGCATACTCTAGCCCTACAGGGTATTCTATTTTTGGTATATATTAACATTTTCTGTTATACAATATACAGTGAAAAGGATGAGCCTCCGACCTCTCAGTATGTAGAAAAGGAATGCTTAAAAATGGCAACTTCCTTTATTTTCTTGGTATTCCAATATCCCAGTATTTTCCCCTGTGAGCTGTGTCACTGCCGGCTGGGGAGCTGGGACACGGCTGCCAATCAATATCCCACACAGAGAAAAAGAAATTGCTGCCACTCAGATGAAATATGTATATATGTATTTTAACCAAAGTTGAAATATGGTGTAAAAAACGCCAAAAAGCCGTTTGAAGTCTGTTTTGTAGTTTTAATTAATGCAACAAGGGGGTTTATTTTACTCTCAGAGGAGATAATCTTAATCCATTCACAGTGACCTTTTCTTGTGCAAATTAGCTACACACGCTTGTTTAAGCAAATGGGCCTTTGCAAGATGTCTCCTTCTAAAGACTGGAGCTTATAATTGAAAATTGGCTTACTCCCATCTGGCTGGCCTGTGTGAGAATAGGAACGTAGATCCGGACTTTTCTGTATATAAAATGTAATCATACACACATGTATATACGTACACATATACACACATACAGTAAACATTGCTCTGCCTGCAGGCTACAGTTAAATTAGATTATTAGTGTTAGAAATTTCAGTGCCACAAGTTGCTGTCAGAAGAACATCTGCCTGCAGAGTCCTGGACGCTCTGCAGAAAGGAGGGTGTTTAATCCGGATCCTTTTGTCTCAGATGAGGCAGGTGCCATTCACAGCTCCATGGGTACAATTAGCTAATAACAGGCTGGAAACTGTTGGGATTTGATGTGTGGTTTTGGTGAATGGTTTCAAAGTGATTGATGGAATTGGAAAAAAACGCCAGGAGTGTCTATAAGCACTTGAGTTTTAATTCGGAGGAGCAGGGGTCATTGCAGCTATGTGGTTAATTGCCAAAATTGGGCAGTTTATCCTTCTCGCCACACTTGACAATAACCATCGAGTGAGTCATTGTAACCTCCTGTCCCTTTTTGAGTGCCTGTTTGATAAGGGAAGATTTCTTTGGCATAGTTTAAATATTCTTTTGCTTTGTACAAACCTTACGTGTACAAATGAACACAGTTGTGCATGGCCTTGACTCAATCTGAATAGAAATCAGTGTCACAGAAGTGCCACAATGGTGCTTTTGGGTATCAACATATTTCATATGATAAAGTTTGTTGTTAGAGCTCATGCATACCTCTTTATATAGAAATGGCTGATTATTGCAATGGCAAAAGGATTTCCTTCCTCCCCAGTTTCATTACCACTCTTCCCAGCGCTCTCCCATGGTGGTTGCTCCTGAGGGTGAACAAAAAGGAGCCAGGGAGGTGGCTGACACACATGTGCACGGAGGGAGTTAACCTGGTGGTGAGCGGTCTTGGTCGGGGGTGATGTTATCCAGATGGGTCTCAACAGCTGTTTGCATTTTCATGCCCAGTTACTCCAGGACTCATGCTAATTGAATTTTCTCTTTTCTCCCCTGTTCTTGTTAGGTATGATTACCGTGAAATGCTGCACAATGCCACTTTCTGTCTGGTTCCCCGTGGCCGCAGGCTTGGCTCTTTCAGGTTTCTGGAAGCCTTGCAGGTAAGAGCTGCAGTTTAAAGCATTGGCTATGCTGGCTGCAATTCAGCATGCAATAGCAAGGAGGTGGGGAGCAGGGAAATGTGTTTCATTTCCCTAGTGGACAGTAATCCACTTCGCAAAAGCCTCTAGTCATACTTCTGGAGCAATTGGCAGCTTCTTCCCAGGAGGAGCCGAGCACTGAGCTCATCTGAAGGTTGAATTGTGTTACCTTCAGGAAAAGGGTTTCCCTGGATGTGGTGAGGCTGAGAGGTTGGACTGGTTTAGAGCTGTATTTTATCAAGCTATGAGACTTCCCATGGGAGACACTGGCCTCTACAAGCTGCAGGGCAGTAAAAGTAGGCTTTTGTTTTCACTTAGTCCAAACAGACAATGCTTTATGCATTGCCTGTCTTGAGATGGTGCTTGCTGAACATGCAGAAGGTGTCCTGGAAGTTGTAAAGCCCCATTTGGAAGCTTCACATGAAGGTAGATATAGGCTGGTCTCAGGGAGCTCACAGTGTGTCTTGGGACAGCACTTGAATCCCCTTCACCTTTTAAACCCGTTTTGGTTAATGGTCTCCCTGTTTTGCTGTTGGCCAGCAGCAGAGGGCAATGCAAAGGGGCTCCTGCATCACCGTGACAGCAGTGATGGAGCCTGATACTGACCTACTGCAGCTGCCACTGGCCTGACCCTTTCTTACTGGCAAGCATCAGCTCAGCCCTGGGGTCCTGGGTCTCCAGTCAGCCATACAGAGCATCTTGGGAGATGCTGCAGCTCCCCTCTAGGGCTGACATACGGATTTCCATGGGGACTGGAGTGGTGGGAAGGGAAAGCCGAGTGGGTTCTTGGTGTCAGTGAGATGGCAGATGAGGACATCTTACAGGGTCCTGCCTCTGGGTGTCCTTTTACCATTTGGGAAGTGTCCCAGCATTGGCAGTGAAGCTGTTGCTGAATAGCATTACATCACTTCACCAACCACAAAATGTCCCAGCCATTACTAAAGAGTATTGTTTACCACAGTGCAGACCAGGATTCAGGTACCTGACTGTAGGTGTGTAATGTCATTTTAGAAGCCCAGTGCTACACTTCTGGCTTTCTGTTGCTTCTCCAGAAGGTCTCCAGTAGATTTTGTGTCGTGTCTGCCAGCCTTTGATGGGTTTCTCAGGTATCCTAGGGTATCCCAAATGTGCTGGACACTTAGGTTAACCACTGAATCCTACACTTACTGTCACATTTGAGATCCAGGTTCTGGACTGTCACTTACCTCTTTGCTCCTGCTCAGAAGATTAATAGCCTGAAAGTGCTGTTCCCTTACCAGCCTTTTCAGAGGAAGAAGTGAGACTGGCTTATTTGGAATGACAAGTCACTTCAGATCCTCCTGAAGAGCACTGCTCAAATCTTCTCTCATCTGGGCCATGAGTCATGCAGCTTCTGTTAGATACATTATCTCAGGAGAAGAAAGCAGGGAGTGTACCTCACTGTAAGAACTTGGAGGCTCCAGGTCGATGATGATAAAATGCAGGCACTGAGGATTTTCCTCACAGGCTGGCAACAGTATTCACTGATTATGATGAACTCCCAATTCTGTCTGGCTCCAAGGCGTAATCCACATTAAGTGGAATGAAAGACAAAATTATGAAAGACATAATCCACATTAGTGGATTGTTTTAAACATGAAACCACATTGCTAAGTGTTTTCTGGTTGGCTTTTTTCATGCACGAATGTCGTTCCTTTACAGATGATCATAGTTCTTTACACCCTATAAGCATTGTCGCAATGCAGAGACTTGACCAGTCTAAAGTCCTGTGTCTAGTACATGTGACCAAGGAAGGTATAGCAGTCTGAGGAGTTCCCCTTTATAGCATCGTTTGGGAGCTATAGGGAGATCTGAACACTACTGTGGACCTAATTCAGAGCACTTAAGCTTGACTTGATCCAAAAAAAACTGAACTAGAACACGGGCTTGATGCAGATCCTCTGGTAATAGGTTCTTGCATCACAGAAGGAGGTTTGTGGTTTGGACCTTACGTTGTGATCCAGCTGACCAGAAAGAGGTGGCGATCATTTGTTTATGGAAACACTGCTCTATTTACTGAATAGTCACAAACATGCTGTCAGTGCAGACAAACTTGTGCAACTCAGAAAAGAGTAAATAATTTAGACAGATCATACTGGTATGAAATAGATACTAAATGTGTATGCTTTTTGTTTGTTTTAAGACAGAAAGCAATTCCTATTTTCGTAGACAGGTGATGGCAGACGAGTCATGTTTGTGCAGTTGCCTTTGTTTGGAGAGTTGATATCAAACAGAATAGGGAATTTACTCTTCCTTTGTGGAAAAGTGCCCTGGAATTAAATATGATTTATATTTTCTGTAGGGTTGTCTTGCCACATACCATAAAATTAGGGGAGTTAGCTCCCTGCTGAAAGGTTCACAAATCAGCAAGGGAGGCCATCGTGTTGTATTGAGTTCTCCAGTGTTACATCTGCATTATTTTAACAGTTCTGCCCTCATCTGGCAGTGTAAGCACCACATTTCAAATGTCACTCTCCAGGCAAATCCCACCTCTCAGTGCATATGAGTAAGTACGAAAACCCATAAACATTTGGGCTGCCTTCCTGTGGCTTCTAGCTTCTGGTATTCTTTGCCGTGGTGCCTCTCCTTCTGAGGTCGTGCAGGAAGCAATGGTCATGGTGTTGGTGCAAACCCTGAAGCTTGCCCTGGTCACCTAACGACTGCAATGCCTCTGTGTGCATGCAGGCTGCCTGCGTCCCGGTTATGCTCAGCAACGGATGGGAGTTGCCGTTCTCGGAAGTGATTGATTGGAACCAAGCTGCCGTCATAGGCGATGAGAGATTGTTATTACAGGTAAGAGAAAGACCGTGGCCTTCAGCACATCAGTTGATTATTGCTGCTGCCATCTAAATGGACGGGGAAGATGAATCCAAAAGGTCAGGACTGTAAAAGAATTTTTATCATGAAGGGATTGTCTGTGTCACACCAGCTATGAACTCATTTAATGTGACATCATTCATTTTTTGACCTGAAGGTCACTGCAGCCACATTCCAGGCCAAGTTCTTAAATGCAGCAAGACGTTCATTTTTCCTAAGAGCATGAAACCTCTTCTGGTGCCGAGCACCTGGATGCTTCTTTAAGGCAGAGCTGTCCTGGGCTGGCTGCTGTGATGAGAGAGAATACATTGGAAAGCAGGTTCTTTAGTCCTTCGGAAGAAGTTTGTCCTCAGGGGTCCCACCAGCGCTGTGTGTCTGGATGGCAGGCATTGAAGGGACTCCTCAGGAAAGCAGGTATTCTCTGAGGCAAGAGTTACCACCTACCAAGTTTTGGGGAAGCAGAATCTGTCCCTTTTTTGATGTCTGGACCATCTAACATTGCTTTCTGAAGCAGTGTTCATGTCATTTACTGTCAATCTCCTTGAGATCAGGGAACAAAAGCAGGCTGAGACATTAGAAATTGCCTGCTAACTTCAGCATCTACTTTGGCTTTAAATTCACTTTTTTTTTCCTGTTTCCCTAGAGGGTTTTCTAGCCTTAATACATTCTGTAAACTATGTGGAGAAGTTGATAATAGGAGATGTTCTTGAAAATTTAGTAGCATTTGGTAAAATGCCATTGCCCAGCATGAAGCTGAGATCCACAAGATCTGGAATAGCCACTAAGTAGCCTCTAAAAGGGACTTTTTTCATGATTGAATTCAACTCATATCCGAGGTGGCAAGCTAGACATCCATAGAGAAAAGCCTTTGAAGGTACAGGTGTTCTGGGGTGTTCTGGCACCCCAGAAATGAAGTACCTTCGAAAATCTGGTGCAATGCCTGTTTAGTTGTCTCAAGAAGTAAATATTTGCGATTAGCACTTGCAAAGTGCTGCCTATTCTCCTTAATGTGATCCGAGCTGCAGATACAAAAGGGCCGTTGGATTTTTGCATCTGTGGACAGCACATCTTTTCTGAGCAGAATTATTTCTCTCTTTAAACAATAATAATTTGCTGATGCTCATGCTTTCCGGTAACATGCCATTCGTTCCCCTCACAGCTGCTGCCATATTGAACAGCTACTGCACCGTTATTAACAGTGTTTTTAAAGAGCTGGCGGAGGGCCTGAATGTCTGCTCTGGGAAATGTTTTTGTTATGTTACAGTTTCTCATTTCCTGTTTGAGAGCTGCTCGGATGCTTTTATTTGCATATTCCCCTCATCACAGCACTGGGGAGAGCTTAATCCAGCCTCTCTGTGTTTATTTGCGCAGGGTGGCTTTTCTCTTCCCCCTACTTATTACTGAAATGACCTTTTATTAAGGTTCTAATAATTCCAGTGTAATCCTGCCAGATTACTATTAATACATCACTTTCCCCACCTGTCTCGCGTGACAAGTAGATTAATAACTAATAGGCAAATGCAGTCAAAATGGGAGCTCTGATTTTTCCTTCCAGCTGTTGTAACAGAGCAGGCACCGAGGCTTTTTGTCAACCTTGGCTGTGTGTTGGCAGGCGCTCACAAGCATGGTGTGGTCTGTAAAATCATAGCATCTCGCAGTAACCTTCACAGTCAGGGCAGCCTTCCCTTTCAAAGGGCGTCATTGGGAATGAGCATTGATTTTATTTGGTGCTCACACGCATACGCACACAAGGTTGCACGTAATGCAATGAAATGTTTTAAGTTTATAGAAAAAATGCCATATTTTAGCACTGTGAAGTGACTTTGATCTTGTGTTTGCTGCTGGTAATGATCCCGGGTGTGATTAATACACATCTGTGGACAAGACAGTGCAGGTAATGTCCATTATCCCTCTGCTTACTGGAACTTAGGGTTTAAATAATGAAAAGAGAGAACACTCACCCAAAAGATGAAATTTGTTGTAGTTGTTTATATCATCATGTCATGAATAGTGACAGGATCAGTTAGAAAAACATGTTTTAATACATTTCTTTAACTTCTATCTTTCATACTAGTTTTGCAGGGAATATTTTACTTGAAGACCTGTATTTTACTTAAAGGGCCTATAGCAAAGGAACATAAAGTACCATCTTCAGTAGTCTGACCATTTTCTTCTGATCCACCTTGCTGTAGTGCTAACTCTCATAAACTCAGATTCTGTATTCTAGTTACCAGTGTATTTAAGATGAAGGTGTAAGAGACAAAGGGCTGAAAAAGTAGAGATTGTCCCACCCAACACTGCACCCTGTGGAGCCATAGTCCTTTTGGATGCAGTGTCAGACCTGGGTGCAGGCTATGAGTAAAGAATTTACTGATTCTTGTGGAAATTTTTTACATACAAATTCTTACGATCTCAAATTTTCTTCAGGAAGATATTTCATGTGAAAGCCAATAATGGTCACTGCCACCTCTCAGAATATTTTAGGAATAAGCGAAGTTCTGCTCTGGAAAGGGAGGGATGTGATGGCGTGCAAGAGAACTCCAGAATAAGCTGGGGTGTGCAAAAAGCAACACACAGCCCAGGTAGATGCTTTTACGACTAATGACTTAAGTAAAAGATTTATGAGAAATGAGTGTCTGAGAACAAGGTGGCCTAGTTCGAAATCACAAAAAAAAAGAAGTGGGTGCAAAAGCACAACTCTTCATTCTTGGATAAAATGAACGCAAATCAGCAATGTATTCTAGATGCCTTTCTGGTGCTGGGAGTAGCCCCTGCAACTGAAGCAAATTGCAGGTAAATTTGCTTCATAATGTCAGTTTGCATTCTCAGAGAGGTGTGCTGGAGGCCTTGGTCAATGTCCTAAGTTACAGAATGACACGTAGGTACGTTAGTTTCCCTCCAGTGTGAAAGAGGGATGTGGGGATGAGGAAAGACGTAGAAGAGAAGCCCTCCCCTACTGAGCAGTTACAATTTTAATGGCAAAGCATTGCAGCAGGACAATTTGGGGGGTTTATTTCTAAGGCATCTTATACTAGAATTAATGTGTTGATTTAATGGAAAGGGGGAAAAAGAAGCGGTGTTTTCCCTTGTGAATAGCAGGTGCTGTGGGAGGCGTTATTCTTTCCACCCACAGTAATTAGTAAAACACAGTTTGATCCACAGGCTCCCAAAAATTGGAATCTCACTTAAGATGTTGCTGTGTTTTCCTAGGGCACTTAGTGTTGCCATGCTGTGGTAAATGCAATTCCAGATCCCTTTAATGTACTTTGAGAGTGGGGATTATTGTTGGACTCTTGAGACCTGCAAGGACTCGTTTGTTAAAATATTAGTCCATGAAAACCTTTGTGCATGAGGGATGTATGAAAGAGCTCCTTACTGTGCCATGCCACAGCGCTGGGGAGAAGGAGCTTTTGTTACCATAAATCAACCAAAACCTAAAACAGAAAGCAGATTAAAAAAAAAAAATCATATATTCAGTACCAAAGGTTATAAAGGGCTGTGTCCCATTCGTTTTACATCAAGGCTTTAACTGTTGCAGCACGCGTCTGTGTGGGACAGGAGCGCTGAAGCCGTGCAGCTCGCAAATAGAGGAGAGGTCTTGTCAGCAGCATATTAATGTGATGAGATTGCATTGTTTTCTGAAGCTTCTGACTATATTGCATCTTGTATTACAGATTCCTTCTACAATCAGGTCTATCCATCAGGATAAAATCCTAGCACTTAGACAGCAGACACAGTTCTTGTGGGAGGCTTATTTTTCTTCAGTTGAGAAGATTGTATTGACTACACTAGAGGTGAGTAAAATTGCCTGGGACCTTGCCAGGCAGCGAGGTTTCCATACCTGTCCAGCTGCTCCTGTCCTCTGCTGGCATCGGACCTTGGTTTTCATGACATGCAATTGGTCACTGGGGAAAAAGGTCGGCTTCTCGATAAGATTTCTCCCCCAAGGAAATGCTTTCTTCGTTATCTAAATCCACATTAGAAAGCTGCCATGGTGAAAAATGGGAGCTACCCAACACATGGAAAAGTTGCCATGTGTGATCTTGCCTTTGCAAGGCTTTATGGCTTATGAATCACTACCCTTGTCATTGGTACTGAGTGTGTTTCTTTAAGAAACCTTTCTGGAATTCATTTTGGGAAAAATATTACTGTAGAGCTCTTCCTTGACCATTCCTTAACGTTTTGATACCTAGTGATGGGGCTATTGTTCTGGCTCAAGGTAAAGGGGGGCTTGTAAATCACTAAGTCTTATCTTCACACACAGCATAAGGGAAAGGCCTGATCATCTTTATAAAATATTAATAAATAATCATAATTAGACTGCTATTAAACAGGGAGACAGATGATCTGAAATGTGGAGAGAATCCTTTCTGAATTCCGAGGCAGGAGAGATGAAAGGCTCTTTAGAAGTAGGGCCCAGGCGACAATTTCAAAAGCAGGTTTATCTTCTAATTGTTCCGCAATTTTGCACATAAATTTTTGACACACTTTTACCACTGCAAGTGCCTCACTTTGTAGGTGCAAATGCATTCGTCTTACGCTAATGCTTCTGCAATTGCATCCGTCTCTGCGCACAGTTGTAAAGCTCCACATTTCCCGCTGTGCCTGCTTACCCTGGAAAACTGCAAATGAGTGCTGCTGCCTGCAGTACAGGTTGCCTGTGGCTCATCTACCTCCAGCTGCTGTAAGACAGTCCCTTAGGATTTTGTGTGCCAGTAAAGAAAACCAGCCAGGGAACATTTTCAGAGCCCCTGGCATAGCT